CCGTGGCAATTAGCAAGATGACACCAACATTTATACAACCAAAAAATATGTCAGATGTACATTCCAAAATTCGACATAATACTCGATTTTGGCCTTGATTTAAGGTAAAATTTCAAACACATTAATAAATTTATTTTATGGCCTTAATAAGTGCACATTTATATTTTATGTGTAAGTTATTAGTATTTAGTTACATACTCACTATCGACTTTGTTTAAAGAGATAATATTTATTTTATGACTTTGCATTGTCTTGGAAGCATTATTTTATTACTCTTACAAACATTATTTTGTGAAGTGTATTCTATAATGCTTCCAATTTATTTTATGTTCACTAAACTAATATTGATGTATTTTTTATTTGGTAGGATTGTGTTGGTGCGACTGAAGGAACATATATAGAAGGGGAGGTTCCTAGCGGTACAACAAGCATATCGTAATCGCAAAGGAAGAACATCGATCACAAAATGTCTTATGTGCTTGTGGTTTTGATATGTGATTTACCTTTGTTGTTGCTAGTTGGGAAGGTACTACACATGACAGTAAAGTACTTGAGAATGCACTTGTTGAACCAACATCACAATTTCCATTTCCGCCACATGAAAACTTTAAATTACATCCTTAGAATAAATATTATTTATTTACATAAAGTTGTCTTATTTATGTCACATATGCTTTTAGTAATTCTTTATAAAATGTTTGTTGGTAGATACATATTATGTTGTTGATGTCGGTTTTCGAAACACAAAAGGATTGTTATAAGCTCCATACAAATTAGGACTACGCTATCATTTGCAATAATACAGAGGAAGTGAAAGAGAGCCTCAAAATGCCAATAACTGTTTAATTATAGGCATTCATCTTTGTGCAATTTGATTGAACTGTCTTTTGGAGCTTGGAAAAAATAGATTTAGAATACTGAAACATGAACCATTATGATATTGATACACAAGTGAAAATTGTCATAGCTTGAATAGTGTTACATAATTATTTGCGAGAATACCAAAGGATTGATGGAATATTTATGGTCTATGAGCATGCAAATATAGTTGCGAATGATATTGACCAATAAATGACTCAAAGTAACAATGTTGATTCGTCTTTTAGGTCACATGATCGAGAAATGCAAGTACAACGTGAGAAATTGTCCGTACTATGTGGGAGGATTATATTAAGACTAGTACACTACAATTTATGTTCAACTTTTTTTATTGAATTAAAGTTAGATGAAACAATTACTTAAGTGGAAAATAAATAAATTTGTAATAATTTATTATGCAATTTTATAATTATTTGTTTATTTGGTAAGATTGAATAAACAATTTGGCTATTTTAATAATTTTGCAACTTATGGAATTCTTATGTTTATAAGAAAATATACAACACAAAAATTTCATATTGCATGTCCAAACAAAACCTCAATTTCATCTCAGAATTCCGTATTATGATATCATATTGATAGAATGTGTGCGTCCACTATCAGTCAACGGACCAGGTCCCTTGACTCAACAAGAACAGTAATGACAAGTAAATAATAACAAGAACACAACGCAAACAGTTTATGTGGAAACCTCCTTGCTCAAGGGAGTAAAACCACGACCTGTCTCATAGGATTTTCAACTGTTTCCACTAATCTCTTCAAGCAAAAGTGAAACCCAGTTACAGCCAAAGTGAGAAGAAGTTATTAATCTCACAACTAAGTAATAACTCTATTACTTACTGAGCCTAAGCAGATACCACACTGCCCACTAAGCTATCACCACTAGACAACTTAGAATTCAACTAAGCAGATACTACACTGCCCACTAAATCAACTAACACCTAGATGACTTAGAATTTGACTAAATATTATTTGGACATTTAATAAAAAATAAGTATGTCATTGAATATTACTACACAAATTTGTAGCGGGGTGTATATATATGTGTGTGTTAAAGATCTAAATTTTAATTACAGACACATAAATAAAATATAAATCATGAAAATACTTGTAATAAAAAAAGAAATTAATAGAATAAAAAGGTTGAAGTAAATAATGTGAGCACTAATTTGGCTCCTTTCAAATCATAATTTTTTTTTATTCTCCTTCTAATTTTATGAATTCCATAAATAGAAAATTCTTCTAAATAATTCTTCTTTGCCTTTGAACACTCATCACTCTTCCTATAAATTCTCAATGAAGTTAATTTTTTCCATGTATCTTTTTATAAAAGGAATTACAGTATAATATCCTTTCAAAAAGTCTATTATTTTGAGAAAAAATGTTTGTTGCATGACCTTTCTTCTTATACCAATATACTATGTCTTTCTCTTCCACTTCTTTTTGGATGGAGTAGAATTATGTATGCCAATAGATATGTAATATCAAATGTAATATTCACAGATAATAATAGAACGGTACACACCGTTTTTTTTATATATATATTATAAATTGATAGATGAGAAGAAGTAGAAGAAATGGAAGAAGAATAGTGAAACCATGGAGTTCATTGTTATTGGTTATGGATACTCAAATCTTTTTAATTTATAGGCAAAAATTATAATAGTTTTGGTAAATGAAATTTTTTTTGTTTTGAAAATAAAAAGTTCTTTGTTTTTTTTATCTTCCATTTACTTAAATTTTTAGTAATTTAAGAGATGTTTTAAATGGAGGTGATTAATTGGGTAAGACATTTAAGTTTTTGAAAATATTAATTAAAAAATAGAAAAAAAATTCAAATAATGGACATAGAAGAGTGCTACATCAGATTATTTATATCCAGCTTTATCTATAGATTTAAAAATATTAAATAAAATATTAATAATACACAAATTTACCTCTTGATCTTGAAAAAAAGAAGAAGATTATCGTGGATTCTCAAAAGCCACAAATCTATGTACTTCTTTGCTGCTTTAATTTACTAATTGGGGTCCATGTATAAACCCCACAAGCCAACCATATCGTGGACGTTTGAAAATAAAAATTGTGGACTCTCAAAAGAAAATAAGGTAGTTAGAAAACAACGCGTTTTCCTTGTAAGACAACTCGTTTTCCTTTTTCTTTTTTTCTTTTATATTCAGTAAAAAAAGAAGAAGAGGGAAGTATTAAACTTATCAGTTACAGTTGGCTTTTGAACAACCCTAACTCATATTGTAAGATCAAAGGTATATTTAAGTTTAGTTAGTCAAGTAAAAAAAAAATATTTTTAAGATTGTAAATAGTTTGAAGATAAAATTAATATTACTCCCTTTATTTAATATTAACTAAATTTATGAGGTACACATATACTAAAAAAAATCAATCAAGGGCATAATTTAAACCATAATTTTCACTATTATGATTATCTTTTATGAAATTATAATAAAACTTTGTAAATAGTGTATTTTATCTCATAGAAAATATAAAACTTTGACAAAGAAAATGACAAATATGCAAAAAAAAATGCGAACATCCATTTTAAACTTTGAATAATTCAATTATTTTGAACAATTAAAAAACCTAAAAAATTCAATTAATACTCTCTCCATTTCAAAATAAGTGAATTCTTGAGGCAATAGGTGTACACCTATTATGAAAAAAAGTTTAGAATATAAAATGAACACCACTTTTCAATTTTGCCATTTTAGATATTCTTAAACTATTATTGGAAATATAAATAATTTAAAGCAAAGTTATAAATATGAGCAATTAACTCTCTTGAAATTACTTATCACCTAGAAGATATAAACACGAGGCAAAAATGGAAAAAAGTTTCAACAAAACTCTAGAACTTTAAATAATTAACTCAATAATTGACACCAAATTTAAAAGTGTTTTCAATATTTGTGTACGCTGAAATACCACGTCCTTTTTCTTTTTTCCAAAACTTCCAACTCGTTGATAGACTTTTTTCTCAGTATATATATATATATGGGTAAGGATATATACTCTTGTTTGTATATATCCTTACCCATATACATACAATACAGAGAGCAATTTGAATGCTTACTCTGCAATTTAAGTAATATGCCTAGATGGGTTGGTGTTATATTTGCCTCATATTTCCATAATATAATTTGTTATAAGAATATTATTGTATCCTAATTGTAGGATGTCAGATTCACTCACTGCTTCACTGGGATATCTATGTGTACACATGAACCTCCATGGGTTATTAATTAATTGTCAAACATTTTGTGGTAAGACAATGATAAGGAGTTACCGTTCTAGAATCTTTATCTCCAAAAAGAAAAGAAGAGGTTATAAAATCAGAATATCTTGCCTTTCATTCGGATCCAGCTTGCGCGCTCCTCATGGTCAAAGTTATATTGTGGTTTTGCCTCCTTTGAATTTTAACTTTAAATCTCATGAATCTCAACCTACTTCAATGATCACTAAGCCACACCCTTGCGTGCCCTCCCATATTCTTTTTCACGAGCCAATGCATCCTATCCGGCTGTTTCCAGCAACATATCTCATTTTGGCTAAGTATGAAGTTAATAATTCATCATTTGGTTTTTAAAATTTTTGATGGAGAGCTTGACAATTTTCTTCTGTACTGTTGTCATTACATCAAGGGCATGCTAGCAACTCTCTTGAAAGTCCAAGTTTTTTCTTCCTTTGTAGTGTGATTTATCATATTCTACTTGTTTATGATGGTCAGTAAAGCCTGAGTCATAATGCAAATTATTTAGTTAGGTTGCTTTGTGGGTGAGTACTTTCTTGGGCATGTTGAAGACTGATTGAAAATTATTTAGTTAGGTGGCTCAGTTAACTTAAAGTTTGTTCTTGCAAGTTTTGCTAGTTCTGTCGTGCTTAAAAGAATATCATATCTACACATCTATTCTTATATATATTATGTACAATCAAGTTTTTGACTTGTTTCACCAACTGCCTTCTAGACTATCAATCCTTCCTCTATGCTAATATTTTGTAAGTGTTTTTTTGAAGATATCTTATGATCCTCTTTGACCTTAGTTGTTGCATAAAGAATCAAGCTGCAAAGTACCTGCCAATATAAAGTCATGACACACACCTAAGCATATATCAATTTGTCCATCTTACTAAAACATACAGAACATCGTTCGTAGGTAAAATTCTTCATATTGTTCTGAAGGCAATTCTTCTTTCTCTAATTTGTCTTCTTTGACTACTAGTACATTTTTCGTCCACACATTTGAAGAATATTACAAGATTATAACCCTCAAAACAAAAGGTACGTTCTACTAGACTACTACAATGAATCTCGATGTTCAAAATAAAAAGAAGTTTCCTCGTGAATCAACATCTTTCATCTCAAAGCTTCTCACCAAAAAATGATTTTCAATCCAAAAATTCCCAATCCTGTATTATGGATTGATCCTCTTATCACACCTGGTGGTATTGTTATGATGTGAATGATGACCTACTTAAATGCTTGAATACCTGAAAGGTTAGATAAATGTTTTGCTAATGACTTTTGGATCGACATGTATTTTGACTCTAGTATATTACTAACCTTCCTTGATCAGTAATATGTCATCCAGGTCAGGTGGAAACCTCGTGTGCCAGGTAGGTTTAAACCGAATACTGATGGGGCTGCGAAAGAAAGCCCCGGGACGAGGAGGTCTTGGAGGTGTTATCAGAAACCATAGAGGTGACTGGATCATTGGCTTTTATCAGCAAAGAAGCCCATGTCAACCCAATCTTGGCAAGGTTCGTGCGCTAAGACAAGGTGTGCTTATGGCCATTGAATATAGGCTGAACCCAATAGACATCAACAGAGACTCCATGGAACTGATCAATATGTTTGAACACGATAATCACCTCTTTACCAACTTAATCTTTGAATGCAGGTTATTAATGGAGAAGCTGGGAGCAGTGATGCCAACACACTCATATTTCGGGAGCAGAATAAAGTGTCGGACAAGCTTAGCAAGGAAGGTCTCTAGTGCAGTTCTTTCAGAGATCCAACCTTTTTGACAGTTCCTCCAATGTTTGCAAATAGCGCAGTATGGACAGGCATTTCGGGAACCTCTGTATTCAAGGAAATTAAATTTTTGTAACAATTATTTAAAGTATAAAGTACATAAATTCCATATATTAGGGGGCTAATTACATCCTAATTCTATACGGGAAGTTTCCCCATTTTATTTTATTTTGAATTTTTCATTGCTCTCGGATACATTCCTTGGTTGTTCGATACATTGCAAATGATACATACCTAATGGGAGGGATGTATTCGAGAGGGGATAGGAATGTATCTGATAGAGATGTATCCGAGAGGTGATTTTTGTAATTTTTTTATTGCCCAAACTTCCAACACTTCAGCTGCATGTAGCAGGCCTAATCCTTGTTAGTTTATAATATAACTAGCATTTCGACCAAAAAGACCTCCCTTGCACTCATTCAGACTATTCACCTTCGCTTATTACTCTGTTTTAGGATTACGGGAACAAGGCACCCAAACCCTTCAAATTTGATAAGATGTAGTGTACTCGATATTTAGAATTTATTGGTATTGTTCAGAATAGTTAAACGCATAATTCTATCTTAGATAGAGCCACTAAAGAGTTCTATTAAGTAATTATGTACTGGAATAGACACATGTTTGGAAATATTTTCATAATAAGAAGAGATACTTGCAAGTTTTGGAGGACACATATTGATAAACTTCTGCAAATGAAAAACGTGACAATAGGAGCAATGTGCAGAGCCTTAATTGAAATATCGTCTGTCATAGTATAGTTATTTCATCAAATTAAAGTTAGACGTGCTTTTGGATTATAATTAATGTCATCAACTGCACAACAAAATTAATATATAACATGTAAGCTAATTAGGACAGTTGGAAAATTTACCTAGTTTGAATAATAATTCAAAATCCAATCAATTTTTTTTTTTATTAGAGTGTAGAATTTTGAATTTCAGGTTGCATTTTTTTTTCCTATTGCGACTTTTTAATTAGATTTACATTTTTTTAAAGAAAAATTGTAATTTATATTGAAATTTTCCGTGTACTTTTTACTTCCACGTTGGATCAATGTCTCTTTAAAGTGTTAAAGAAAGGAAATTGCAGCATTTATCTCTCACAAAAATAAGTTATTAATTTTTAATTACAAAACTAACTTGTCTATTTTGTTTTTTTAATGTGATGCCAGTTGTGTTAGTTATTTAGATTATAGTTAGTCGGTAATAAGTTACTAAATTTCATGTCTGATTATGCAACGCGGCTTAATCAAGAGGTTTTTCCTACATTGATTCGGTTTTAGGACTACTAATCCTAATTAGTTATAAATAAACGGATTTTGTTGTTAGCGTTGCAAAGAAATTTAGAAACTGTGAGCATAAGAATAGGAAAATACGATGGCGGAAGAACACGAAATTGAAGGAGAAATATATGATGATTCTCATATAGACATTGATGCTAAGATTCAAGGTGTTTTGGGTGATTATATGAAAGATTTTGAAGGAGCTGTTTCTGCTGAGAATTTGGGGCCAAAATTTGGTGTTAATGGTTCGTTTTTGCCGATTGATCAACTTGTAATTCAACCACAGATATCTCAAAAACTCCCTTCCCCTACCCCTATTTCTTCTCACAAACCCATTAGGATTAGGACTAAGGTTTGTTCTTCTCTGCCCTGAAAAGTAGTGATTTACACCCTGGTTCTGACAAGACACACTGCCCGGAACTGTCTTCTGGGGATAAGCCACCAGTTGTTCCATTCATTATACAAGGAGATTCGATTCGCTGTTGTACATGTAGGAAGCGGAGGCTTCTGCCGTATGGTACAAAACCCCATCAATTTTCTCAGAGTTGGCTCTGCACTATGTTAGACTGGCTTCCTGGCATGAACTGTTGTGACATTAGTGAGGACGATACGACAAGGGCTCTACATGTCCTGAACCAAAGTCTCATTCAAAGTAACTTTCAAATCGTGGTGCTAAGGGTTCGGTTGATGTAAAAGCACACAACGGAAGGGAAGTTTCGGTAAAGAAAAGAAAATCGAGGGAACAAGACTATTTAGGTAATAACTTGAGAGAAAGTGATGCCAATGCTTTTGAGAGGAGATTCAGAAAACAGAAGTCGAAGGTGATTCAGACTGAAGAAAAAAAGTCCAGTAGAAGCAAGGGTGAAGGGAAATCGAGAACGAGAGATACAGGAATCAAGGATTCTGCTCCTATAGAGAGAGAACACCAGACGAACAAGTATAGAGTAAAGCATCAGTCTCAAGCAGAATCTGGCATGATCCGCAAACCAGTTTTACAAGAAGGCCATTGGATATGGGAAGGTTGCGAGGGCCTACATTGCAATTTGGTAGAGAAATTACTGTATTAGCAGTCATTAGTTCTTTTTTCTTGTTTTCTCTTAAATTTGTTTATATGTTGAAAGTATATGAAAAATAAGCAACTGATTCTGCTTCACAAGTTCACTTTATGTACTTTGAAGATTACTTAAGGCTTCTAATCCCAATTGCATACCCTTAGCTACTATATTAATTAAATATCCAACTTCTAAGAACCTTTGTTTTGAGGATAATAATCTCATAATATTCTTTAACTGTCTAAGAGGTCTTAAGTGGATGAAGTATGTACTAGTAGTCAAAGAAGACCAAATAGAGAAAGAAGAATTGCCTCAAGAACAATATGAAGAGAAAACCTAAGAATGGTGTTTTGTATGCTTTAGTGCGATGAACAAATTGATATATCCTTAGTTGTGTATCATAACTATCTATTGGCAGGTACTTTGCAACTTGATACATCCTAGTCATGATTCTGTAGGTAGCAACTAAGGTCCAAGAGGATCATATGATATCTTCAAAAATCACTTGCAAAATATTTGCATAGAGAAAGGTTGATAGTCTAGAGGCAGTTTGGTGAAACAAGAAAAGGCAAAAACTTGATTTTACATAATACAAAAACTAGCAAACTTGCAAGAGCAAACTTTGATGGACTAAGCTAATTGACCTACCTAACTAAATAATTTCAATCAATTTTCAACATTCGCAAGAAAGTACTCACAGCAAGCATTATGACTCGAGGCTTTACTGGCCATCAAAAACAAGTAGAATATGATAAATCACACCACAAAGGAAGAAAAAACCTGGACTTTAAGAGAGTTGCTAGCATACCCTTGTTGCAATGACAATAGTACAGAAGAGAATTGTCAAGCTCTCCCTAAAATTTTAAATACCAAATGATGGATAATTAACTTCAAACTCGGCCAAAATGACATGCGTTGCTAGCAGCAGCTGGATAGGATGCATTGGCTGGTGAAAAAGGGTATGGCTTAAGGATTGAAGTAGGTTGAGAACCATGAGGTCTAAGATTAGTGGATAGAGTTACCCATGAGGAGCGCAAGCTGGACCCGGATGGAAGGCAAGATATTTTTATTTTATAACCTCTTCTCTTCTTTTTGGAGATAAAGATTCTAATACTGTAACTCTTTTTTTTGAAACTGGTAACTTAAATAATACTGTAACTCTTATCTTTGTCTTACCACAAAATGTTTGACAGATGCCTCAACCCATGGAGGTTCATGTGTACAATGTTTGCATAAACATACATCCGATTATTACGTTATCCATGGTACACATAGATCCCAGTGAACACATCAAATTGTTCCATGTATATATGTGTAGGTATACACACACACACACACACACTCAGAGATTCAAACATACATAACAAGGCCCAAAATTGCTAGCACATACCTCAAATGCAAAGAATATTAGATCTTTAAAGAAACAAAGACAATTGACAAACCACATAATTACTGAAACACCGACACATCTAGGCCTGCGCAAAGTTGACCACTGCTATATGTATTCATTTTCTCCCTTATTGGTGTCCAACACATCTCCCACATACCACATCTTCATAATATTGATTAAATAAAAAGGTTAGTTTTTACAGACTAATCTCAACAAACACTCCCACAGAAATAGTAACTTGTGTTAACATAACATCAAATTCAACAGCATAGGCTCAAAACGAAAGCAAATAATACTCAATTCAATATCTAATAGAGTAATGGTAATGAAATGTCTACCTGTGCTACTTCGGTTTTGCAATACTCTGCAAAAGTTGGAGATTATGCTACGAACTCAACATGAAAAAAAAACGCCCAATAAGCCTTTGATAACTAGATCTTCCATTATCCTGTCACAGATGACTCTCGTCCTACCACATTGAATTCAAATTAATTAGATTTAGAGAAATGGGCTGAATGAGAAGGGCGAAAGTCATCTGCGACAGGACTACCGGAAGATGTGAACATCAAAGGCATCGGAGCGATTGGGAGGAACCTGAAAGTTGCCAGAACTCCAAAAGAGAATTTGTAGGGTTTGTAAAGACGAAGAGTACTCACTACTCAAACAAAAAGTATATCAACCCGTCGGAGGTTTCCGAAAATAAGATAAAAACGGGCTTTTACTAAATAAAGGAAAAAAGAAGAAGGCGTCCTTTTTCTCACTTCTTTTGCTTTTCTCTTTTTCTTGGGCAAGTCCAAATTTCTACTAGCAAGTTAAGAATAATCCACAAAATGGTTCTTTGGTTTTATTCATGTGAATTAATGATAGATAAAATTTCATAGCTAAATAATAATTTTTTTTATGTTAACTCATTTAGCTACGGATTAGCGATGGATTGATTGAAATTGCTAATAATTCTATAGCTAATTTCATATTTTCTAATAGTGAGTTTTCATCTAACGATTCAGTGAAATCTGAAGAACATTGAAGAGACAATTAGTTAATTAATTTCCTTTGGCACGTATCATTCCAATTTTATAAAATGTAAAGGGACATAAGTTATGAGAATTTTAACAATGAGATGATCATGTCATAAACAAGTAGAGAGCCGATGTATCATTAATCATTGGGCATTATATTGATAGTATATTATAACATTAATACATCGATCCTCTTATAATATTTGAGCTTCTACTGCCTGGATCATGATGAATATCAAAACCTAAAAATAAGTAAATCAAGAAATCGAGATAAGTATACCTAAAGATAAGTAAATCAAGAATTGGAGTTTTTTTCTTCTTAAGAACGGAAGGTTTATTCATACAAAAGTGGAACTAGTCTATGAGATACAATTCCATCCACATCTCTTTCGAGAGCATTTATTTTACCAGAGAAAGAGATGTTACAAAAACATAAGGCTGATTTCAGTTCATATGTGGATCCTTCGTTGTCCTTCAGTATTTAGCTAATAAGTTTGCTACTATATTAGCCTCCCTCAGGATGAGCTTCAGAGATGATCCTTACAGCTGTATGATTAGTGACCTGCAATCTGCGTAAATATTGGTGTGCATGAAGAAGAGGGAATTAAACAAATCACGGAAGAGATAGTACCAATCACTCGTGAGAGGAATTAGGTTTCTGTATGATGAATTGTAAGCAATAACGTAGAGAGCACAATATTTTTCGTGGAAAACTTCCTTGCTCAAGGGAATAAAAACCACGACTTACATCGCGTAGGATTTCAACAATCAAATTTCACTAAATTCAAGAGCGATTTAAGATTACAAAGGATAATCTCCAAGAAGATCAATTTTCTTCTTGTTACAAACCTCACAACTTCAATTACTCGATCATTTCAATTTAGGAATTATTATAATTCAATAATAACCCTAGAACAACATCAGTTACATCGGGAAGAAAACACACTTCACTTCAATTTATGATTCTTCAGTATCTTTGTCTATCATCAAAACTTCATATTTCTGAATTTGTGCATTCCATCCATTCAAAATACCAAACATAAATACTGCAGGTTCAAATCATCTCCTTTTTGTTTCCTCTGAGATAAGGAAAAAAGGCACAACCCCTGTAAAAATAAAATAATTAAAACATAATTTAATTGAATACAAGTGCAACATATGAAGTTGTAACAAAATTACTTGAATCTACAAAAATGGAATGTTGGTTTGATTCCTTGAACAGCAAAAAGTCCATCTTCATTTATGTCGCAGATGACTTTCGCATATTTTACTAAGTGAATTGGAAGAAAGTAATATCCTGTATAAACACCATCAATATAAATCATTAACAACGTAGACGATACAAATTCTTCTTCATCATCATCATTAAGAATTGTAGCGTCTCGATGGATGAAATTCTTGGAATTCACTTCCTTCCATCCACCATTTGCTTCAATTCTAATTATGCTTTGAAATTTGTCGGGTCGAGCCGGAGGAACCCAAACTCTAATTTCAATATCATCGTTGCACCTATTTTCTATAACAGTAAGCTTAGCACCCATTGCTATTTAATTTATTTGATCAGTGCTCGTGTGCTTAGTGTATGCATTTAGTGATGAATTATGGATAGTGAAAACTTTAGTATATATGCCAAATATTGAGAGAGATATAGGAACTTTCTTGGAGTTGTGTTGAGTATCACATCACAATAATGCAAGAGTTTATTTTGTGAAAAAGAGAAAAGATTAGACTCCATCACGTGAAATTCAATAATTATCATACAGTATTATTCTATCAACTCTGACTTAATGTGTATACGTATAAATATGTGTATGAATTATGAAAGATGCATATCTTGCAATAACGAGATAGTTATAAATTTATAATTAAGTTTATGTGATAAGAGTATTAATTAGTAACTCGATAAAAATAATAATTGATATGTTATATTATGTATAGGAGTGTAAAATTGACTTGAATATTTCATATAAATTCTCAGAATTGAGAATTTTTAGGTACGTATATATGTTAAAAAGATATATATGAAAAACGCATATTAAAGAATATGCCAAATTAATCATAATGGAAATGAAATTTCAAGATAACGTTTAGGAAACATCCAAGCAACTTAAGCAGTGATTTATCTTACAAAACTAATCATTAGTTTGTGCACTTTTTTTCATTCTTCTTGTTGAAGCAGTATTTATAAGGCAAAGAAAAAACAACGAGTAAGTTGAAAATTTTGCTCTTGCATATCTTTAATTTGCTTTTATACTTTTTGTACGTACAACAGTACTCACTTTAACTAATTTGATGCTTTAATTTCCTTCATTAATTTTCCTTGGTCAACAAGCAACAAATATGGAAAAATTAAAGCTAGGATGAGAAGGGATTCTCTTAAAGTTGAGGAAATTACGACATCACATTAGATTCATCAAGTAAGGATACAACATATGGTTATATACTATTAACATAAAATGACAACCTTTATATTATTGGACATTATAAACTCAATATTGATGATTTTTATTTCTTAGATAATTCCGATGCAAGGATATTGAAGGAGTTATACATAATAATAGAGGTGAGTGGATATTAATTAGGCTTCATATGAAGGATATTTCAAAAGAGTACTAATACTCTGACAGAATTGTTAGCTCTTATGCATGCTAACACTTGTAAATTTAAGATTACAAGGATAATAATCACTTGATGTCTCTAGAAACTCCATTGATCCAGTTTGAAGTAATAAATTTGATTAACAATGATCATAAATCTAATAGGTTTATCAACAATGATCATGAATCTAATAATTTTTTGATCCATTAAATAACAATAAGGACAATTTTGGATTAAAGTATTGACAATAAGGACATTTTTGACCTTTTTCCCTTTAATTATTTCAATTATGTAGTTTTTAGTACTTCTTTTAATATCTCACATATATTTACCTCAACTTTGTATTTTTCTTATTTATCTTTGAATGCAACGACTATTTATTTCAATTATTATATTTTTTTTCTAGTGAATTTTTTTTATAAAAATAATCTGGATGGAATTCAGTAGCGAAAAGTATAGATTTCGGGGTTCCTATAATTGTCATGCCTATGTATCTTGAACAACCAATTGTAGAAATGGAAGTAGCCGCGGAAATTGTTAGAGATGATGATCGAAAAATTCACTGAGAGAAATTGCGAAAACTCTTAAAAGGTGTCATAAGAGGGGAAAATTTGAGCTCTAATGTGAGATATATATCAGCAAGAATTTAAAATCTATAAGAGATGGATTCCAGTCTGCATTAATAAATAGTGATCTTCTTATTTTTGCAGAGAGAACTCACATGACGATCTCTGGGTCTCATTTTATTTTTTGCATACAACTGACAACATATAGAGCTTTAGGTCTAGCTGCATTACAAAACATCATATTTTAAAATAATAAGTAACTTATTTTAAAAGAAGTCTCATCTCATTCGAATATTTGAATAATAAGTCAAAATCCAATATCAATACAAAAAGTTTATCTAGTTAATTTTGAAGTTAGAATGTAGAATTTTGAATTTCAGTTTGCATTTTTGTATATTTCGAATTTTTAATTAGATTTACATTTTTTTTTAAAGTGTAATTAATATTGGATTTTAATTTATTTTATTTTTTTGTAATTCATTTACTGTATTTTTTACTTCCACGTTCGATCATTGTCTCTTCAAGTGTTAAAGAAAGGGAATTGCAACATTCATCTCTCAAAAAATAATTTTTAGTGTGTCTATTTTATTTAAATAATATGATGCCCAATGAATTAGTTATTTAGTTAGTCGGTAATAAGTTACCAAATTAATTTTTAACTTTAAATTACAAAATTAACGTGTCTATTTTATTAGATATTTAGTTAGTCGGTAATAAGTTACCAAATTAATTTTAATTTTTAATTACAAAATAAACGTGTCTAGTTATTAGTTATTTAGTTAGTCGGTAATAAGTTACCAAATTAATTTTTAACTTTAAATTACAAAATTAACGTGTCTATTTTATTAGATATTTAGTTAGTCGGTAATAAGTTACCAAATTAATTTTTAACTTTAAATTACAAAATTAACGTGTCTATTTTATTAGATATTTAGTTAGTCGGTAATAAGTTACCAAATTAATTTTTAACTTTAAATTACAAAATTAACGTGTCTATTTTATTAGATATTTAGTTAGTCGGTAATAAGTTACCAAATTGATTTTTTATTACAAAATTAACGTGTCTACTTTATTAGTTGTTTTTAGTATGTAATAAGTTACCAAATTAATCAGGAGGTTTTTCCTATATAGATTAAGATTTTTTTGTGAACTTTGCAGAGAAATTTAGAAAGTGTGAGCATAGGAGTAGGAAAACTACGATGGCGGAAGAACACGAAATTGAAGAAGGAGAAATATTTGATGGTGTAGTTTACAGTTATAGTGATCTGAAAATTCCAAAGGAAGAAGACGAAGTCGAAATATATGATGATTCTCATATAGACATTGATGCTAAGATTCAAAGTGTTTTGGGCGATTATATGAAAGGTTTTGAAGGAGCTGTTTCTGCTGAGAACTTGGGGCAAAAATTTGGTGTTCATGGTTCGTTTTTGCCGATTGATCAACTTGTAATTCAACCACATATCTCAAAAACTCCCTTCCCCTTCTCACAAACCCATTAGGATTAGGATTAAGGTTAGGGTTAGTTCTTCTGATAATACTGCTGCCCCGAAGAGTAGTGATTTACACACTGCTTCTGATAACCTACACTGCCCGGAACTGACAACTTATGGGGATAAGCCACCAGTTGCTCCATTCACTATACAAGGAGATTCGATTCGCTGTTCTAAGGGTTCGGTTGATGTAAAAGAACATAATGGAAGGGAAGTTTCGGTAAAGAAAAGAAAATCGAGGGAACAAGACTATTTAGGTAATGAATTGGGTGAAAGTGATGTCAATGCTTTTGAGAGTAAATTCAGAAAACAGAAGAAGTCGAAGGTGATTCAGACTGAAAAAAAGAAGTCCAGTAGAAGCAAGGGTGAGGGGAAATCGACAAGGAGAGATACAGGAATCAAGGATTCTGCTCCTAAAGAGAGAGAACAACAGGCGAACAAGTATAGAGTAAAGCATCAATCGGAAGCAGAATCTGGCATGATCCGCAAGCCAGTTTACAAGAAGGCCATTGGATATGGGAAGGTTGCAAGGGCCTACATTGCATATTGGTAGAGGGATTTACTGTATTAGCAGTCATTCGTTCTTGTTTTCTGTTAAATTTGTTTATATGTTGAAAGTATATGAAAATAAGCAACTGATCATTCTGCTTCACAACTTTACTTTATGTACTTTGAAGATTACTTAAAGAACCTAAATGTGTAATGATAAGGTTTCTAATCCCAATTGCAGAACCAACATACTCTTAGGTAAGTCTTTCAATGCTATTTATCTAAATCTATTTTGGTGTTGAGGGTTGGATCTCGAGCCACAAATTCCTTTGTAATAATCTAAAAAACAATTTTGGAGCTTCATTATAATAGATCATGAGGAGTATAAAATGACTTATATGGTTATTTGGTTAATATGAGGGATGGATCTTATTTTGCCAACTCTTTTTTTATGCTAACTTTACATTCCCCTGCCTAAAGAAATCAGTGTTCTGTATCTATCTTGTTGCACCTTCTAAAGACTATCCACTGATGATAAGAAGACAAATTTTAAACAGTTGGTAATTTTCAAAATGTAACTTCTAAATAACCTAACTTTCTAGTATAAAGTAGAAATTACACTTAGTTGTCATCATAGTAGAATTATTGTTGGGTTTAGGGTTTAAGATATGATATAGGATTGGAATTTATGGATTTCCAAAGTCAATATGATGGACTAAGCTAACTGACCTACCTAACTAAATAATTTTCAACATTCGCACAAAGGTACTCACAGCAAGCATTATGACTCGAGGCTTTACTGGCCATCAAAAACAAGTAGAATATGATAAATCACACCACAAAGGAAGAAAAAACCTGGACTTTAAGAGAGTTGCTAGCATACCCTAGGTGCAATGACAATAGTACAGAAGAGAATTGTCAAGCCCTCCCTAAAATGTTTGACAGTTGATCAAACTGTGGAGGTTCATGTGTACACTGTTTTGTTTTCTTGTATGACAAGGGAAACCTGCAGCCGCTACTAAAATCCCCGCTCCTATGCAATAACATATATCCACTTATTACATTATCCATGTACACATAGATCACAGTGAAGCAGTGAGTGAATCTGGCATCCTACAAGAGTGCCCAAGTGTCCATAATACTTATACAAACATTAAACTAAGAAGCCTCTTCATCAATCAATTTATTTTCCCCTAGCTAATCGATTGTCTCAACTGATATCCTTCTAAATTGGCTAATGACAAATATCAAAGATCTATCCTAATCATCAATTGATCCAGTAGGAATCACAAATCAAGTTTTTCTAGGAGATTGACCTAATAGCAATAGTCCTAACAAAGACCATATCAAAAAATAACTTACAAGACGACAGTCAGGATACCATAATATTCTTATAACAAATTCTATTATGGAAATATGAGGCAACTATAACACCAATCCGTCCAGGTATATTACTATCTTTAATCCACCCACCTTCAACTGCAGAGTACTTGCTCAAATTTTTCAGTGTATGTATATATACACAAACATGCACACACACAGAGATTCAAACATACATAACAAGGCCCAAAATTGTTAGCATATACCTCAAATGCAAAGAATAGTAGATCTTTAAAAAAACAAAGACTATGGACAAACCACATAACTGCTGAAACTTTTAACACATCTAGGCCTGCACAAAGTTGAACACTGCTATATGTTTCCATTTTCTCCCTTAAATTGGTGTCCAACACATCTCCCACATACCACATCTTCTTAATATTGATTAAACAAAAAGTACTGTTTTTACCGACAAATCTCAACAGCACTCACAAGCAAATAGGAACTTGTGTTAACCTAACATCAAATTCTACAGCATAGGCTTAAAGTGGAAGCAAATAATACTCAATCCAATAGCTAATAGTAACGAAATATCTACCTGTGCTGCTACTTCGGTTTTGCAATACTACTCTGCAAAAGTTGGAGAATTTCCTACAAATTCGACATGAAAAAAAGAACGCCCCAATAAGCCTTTGATAACTAGATCTTCCATTATCCTGTCACAGATGACTCTCGTCCTACCACATTGAAATCAAATTAATTAGATTTAGAGAAAGGGGCTGAATGAGAAGGGAGAAAGTCATCTGCGACAGGACTACCAGAAGATGTGAACATCAAAGGCATCGGAGCGATTGGGAGGAACCTGAAAGTTGCCAGAACTCCAAAAGAGAATTTGTAGGGTTAGTAAAGACGAAGAGTACTCACTACTCAAACAACCCGTTGGAGGTTTCCGAAAAGTAGAAACAAACGCGTTTTTACTGATTAAAGGAAAAAAACAAAAAGAAGAACGCGTCCTTTTCTTTCCTTTTTTTTTTTTGCTTCTCTCTTTGGAGTCATCGGGCCAAATTAGCCTTTTTTTCTTGAAAAAATTACTGAAATACATTTTTTATATTTATCTTATTTTTAATATCTCTTTCTATTTCTAAAAACCTCTAAAATTCCTTATTTTTTTAATGTATTCGAGTTACATATTATGTATCCGATTTATTTTATAATGTATTCGAGCTAGTTTTAATATATCTGAGTTACATGTTATGTATCCGAGCTAGTTTTTAATATATTCGAGCTACATATTATATATTCGATTTATGTTATAATGTATCTGAGATACTCTTTAATTTATTCGAGTTACATATTATGTATTTGATTTATATTACTTTTTAAGGAATTAATGTAATTACAAACTAAAGAGGGATAAATTGTAATTTCATATTAAAACTATGTGATTCCTAAAATTTACCTTTTTTTTGTTATAGAATAAATACATATATTTCAATATATCAATGTATATTTTTAGGTGGATAAAGAGGAATATAAATGTTGTTGGAACATCTCTTTTCTAAGAAAGACCACCTGTTTTTTGAATGTGTTGAGTTATTGATCTTAACTAAACACATTCTCAACTTGCTTCATAAATGACTAATATGGTTTGAACAAGTGACAACCATGGCTAACTTAAAATGCTAACATAAATGAACGAGGGGATTTATTCAGACCGAATTAAAAAATTTCGTTCTTAAATAAGGTCTAAAATTCATAACACATTTCTATTAAATCACAAATTAAATTAGATTAGCTCAACGAGCCTAGTCAATATTGACGAATTTAAATTTATCATCTCATTTTTTGTATTCTACAAAATTTTATCCAGATATTTTTCCTTGATCAAAATCTATGTTTTTAAATCATATACTTATGTGACAACTTAAGGACTGAATTGGACAAAATGTGTAGGACACATCTTATTCTGAATAAATAGAGTGAGCACAATACGTTGATTTAAAAAATAAGATGAAGAATGAAAAAAGAGGCAGAAAATAAAGTTGGAAGACGAAAAAAGCTAAAAGAGCCTTCTTCCTCCTCCCGGTTACTGTCGGCCCCAATTTCTCTGCTTCTTCTTCTCCATTCTTTTCTTTGTTGACCGTTCTTTTGGATTACTATTTTCAACTGGAGACATTTCAATTATTACTAGCGACACATAAAATTTTACAGTTAAATAATAAAAATTTCATGCTAATTTCATTAACTGTATTTTTATGTACGACGAAGAAGGAATTAAACAATTCATGAAAGAGATAATACCAACTACTCATGAGAGGAATTAGGTTTCTGTATGCTGAACCGTAAGCTATAACGTAGAGAACACAATATTTTTCGTGGAAAACTCCCTTGCTCAAGGGAATAAAAACCACGGCCTGCGATGGGTAGGATTTTAGCAATCAAATTTCACTAAATCAAGAGCGATTTCAAATTACAAAGGATAATCTAAAGGAAATTCTCCAAAAAGATCAATTTTCTTCTTGCTACAAATCTCACATTACTCATCACTTCAACTTAGGATTTATTATAATTCAATAATAACCCTGAACAATATCAATTACATCAAAAAGAAAACACACTTTACTTTGTTATAGTGTTGAACTTGATTCTTCAATATCTTTATCCATCATCAAAACTTCATACTTTTGAATTTGTGCATTCCATCAATTCAAAATACCAAACTTGAATACTGCAGATTCAAATCATCTCCTTTTTGTTTCCTCTAAGATAAGGGAAATAGGCACAACCCCTGTGAAAAAAAAAATGTTTCATAAATAAATCAATTATTTAAAACATAATTTAATTGAATACAAGTGCAACATATGAAGTTGTAACAAAATTACTTGAATCTGCAGAAATTGAATGTTGGTTTGATTCCTTGAATAACAAAAAGTTCATCGTCATTTATGTCGCAGATGACTTTCGCATATTTTACTAAGTGAATTGGAAGAAAGTAATATCCTGTATAAACACCGTCAACATAAATCATTAACATAGTAGACGACACAAATTCATCATCATCATTAAGAATCGTAGCGTCTGCATGGATGAAATTCTTGGAATTCACTTCCTTCCATCCACCATTTGCTTCAATTCTGATAATGCTATGAAATCTGTCGGGTCGAGCCGGAGGAACCCAAACTCTAATTTCAATATCATCGTTGCACCTGTTTTCTATAACTGTGAGTTTAGCTCCCATTAATTTGCGTGATCAGTGCTCGTGTGTAGTGTATGTATTTAGTGCTTGTGTAATGGAAGTGAATTATGAGAGTGAAAACTTTGTTGTAATATATAGGGGTGTAAAATTGACTTAAATATTTGATATAAACTTTAAGAATGGAGAACTACTCCCTCGGTCCCTTTTTACTTATCAAATTTTGACTTGACACACTATTAATTAAAAAAATATTGATTGCTCTAGTAAGTTTACCATTTTACTCATTATATTTTTCAAAGACATATTTGACTTAATGTTAATAAATTGAGGGTATAATATGTAAAAAAAAAAAAAAATCCTTTCTTGATTTGTAAAAAGTAACAAGTAAAAATAAAAAATTGGACAAGTAAAAAAAAACGAGGGAGTATAAGGTATGCGTATACAAAAACACATATCAAATTAAAGGTCAAATATCTACTTTAAATTTTAGTATCAAAAGAACATGTTAAATTAATCATAATGGAAATGAAATTTCAAGATAACGTTTAGGAAACATCCAAGCAACTTAAGCAATGATTTATCTTACAAAACTAATCATTAGTTTGTGCACTTTTTTTCATTCTTGTTATTGAAGCAGTATTTATAAGGCAAGAAAAAACGAGTAAGTTGAAAATTTTGCTCTTGCATATCTTTAATTTGCTTTTATACTTTTTGTACGTACAACAGTACTCACTTTAACTAATTTGATTCTTTAATTTCCTTCGTTAATTCCTTGGTCAAGAAGCAACAAATATGGAAAAATTAAAGCTAGGATGAGAAGGGATTCTCTTAAAGTTGAGGAAATTACAACGACATCACATGAGATTCATCAAGTATGGATACATCATATGGTTATTAAGCATATATACTATTAACGTAAAATGACAACCTTTATATTACTTGGGCATATACTACTATAAAAAATATTGCATTAATTCCTTGGTCAACAAGCAAGGATTCTCCTTAAAAGATATTTCAAAACAATATTCAACAAAATGCTGACCAAGTCTTAGTTAAAAGACTGGCCGATGACTGCTTAAACGGCCAATGGATGGCCTACTTAAAGTTTGAGAAAATTAGAACGTCATCACATGAGATTCAAGTAAGGATATATATACTATTAGCCTAAAATGACAACCTTTATATTATCTGGGCATTATAAATTCAATATTGATCATGATTTTATTTCTTAGGTAATTCCGGTGTAAGATTTTGAAGGAGTTATACATAAAAATAGAGGTGATTAGATACTAAGTGTCATATGAAGGATATTTCAAAGAGTACTAATATTTTGACAGAATTATTAGCTCTTATGCATGATAGCACTAATAAACTAAGATTACAAAGGATAATAATTACTTATGTCTCTAGAAACTCCACTGATTCAGTTGAAGTAATATAATAGGTCTACAGTTCATAAAGGCATATATAATACATAAACATAACCATTAACTTGGCTTCAACTGACAATTATAACTTTTAACTTTGGGTGTGCACAAGTAGGCCTTCAAACTTGTATAAAATTGAACAAATAAACACACGTGTCCTATGTGACATAATACATGTAGGATGCCACACAGGACACAAAATTGCCATGTAGGGTGTCATGTAGGACGAATGTGTCTATTTGTTCAATTTTATACAAATTTAAGTGTCTACTTATGCACACCAAAGTTAAAGGTCAGTTGAAAATAGATAAATCGTTAGGTCCCAGCTTTCACTAACTATCTCTTTTCTAAATCCTCTGGAAAACAAAACAATTTGCAGATGGAGTCATTAGTTGAACAAATAATCTTATGTTTGCCTTGACCAAAAAAATATATATGAGGATATAACGAAGCCACAAAAGTAATAATAGTCCTTTAACTAGGGAAGATACATATACAATCAATGAGATATAAATTACACAAGGATATATGTTAATGGGCTCTAAGCCTAGCGGCCCTACAATATCTATTTGTAAATAGAAGGAGAAGAAAAAAATGATACATGTCAACACCACAAATTTTCAATATTTTAAATAAATTTTAAATAATTAATAACCAATAATTAAATAAATAAATATAGACACATGTCAATAATTAGAATTAGAACGACACATATCAACACAATTCTATCTTAAATTAAAAACTGGTAGAATTTTTTTTATTATAAACTAATTAAAATTTTTCAAATTAATTTTATAGTAATTAAAATTCTCAATTATTAATGAAAAAAATAATCAACTAACTACTACCTACTAACTTCCCAATTCCATCTTAAATTAAAAATTGCTAGAATTTTTTTCATAAACTAATTAAAAAAATTCAAATTAATTTTATAGTAATTAAAATTCTCAATTATTAATGAAAAAAATAATCAACTAACTACTACCTACTAACTTCCCAATTCCATCTTAAATTAAAAATTGCTAGAATTTTTTTCATAAACTAATTAAAAAAATTCAAATTAATTTTATAGTAATTAAAATTCTCAATTATTAATGAAAAAAATAATCAACTAACTACTACCTACTAACTTCCCAATTCCATCTTAAATTAAAAATTGCTAGAATTTTTTTCATAAACTAATTAAAAAAATTCAAATTAATTTTATAGTAATTAAAATTCTCAATTATTAATGAAAAAAATAATCAACTAACTACTACCTACTAACTTCCCAATTCCATCTTAAATTAAAAATTGCTAGAATTTTTTTCATAAACTAATTAAAAAAATTCAAATTAATTTTATAGTAATTAAAATTCTCAATTATTACATTTTAAAAAATATATATCAAAAGACAAGAATTACTATCCTATTTTTTAAATCTTGCATTATATTTTAGTTTTCTACTGTAGAAAGATTAAATCACCAAATCTCACGTTCCTTGCCCCTCTTTCGGAGTAAATTTAATGTAGTTATAACTTCTCAAGTTTTTATCTTTAAAT